CCGCCGTTGCGCCGCTCGGTTTGATACAAGTGATCTGATTAGATCACTTGTATTAAACGAGCAGCGGCTCCCACTGTACATTTAGCTTGTCAGGAGCAGGGCTAAATGTACAAAAAAACTACTCGCCCGGTGCCCAAAACTGCATGTCCTGGGCGTCAGGCGATTCGCTCCATAAGACGCACACACATTTCCCCCCCGCCTTTTGGGGGGAAAAAAGTGCGTCTTATGGAGCGAAAAATACAGTGCTTTACTACTTGGATTTGAAGTGGCGCCATCCACTATCACCGCAGCACCCGCTTTAAAAAGGCAGATACCAGTAAGGAGTGCAGTGGGAACCTCTTCAGACCTCATTACTGTCACACTCTCTATGATCCCGGGTTCTGTGAAACATGTTGAACATGTCAGCCCTATGATTTTTTTCTTGTAGCAGCAAGACCAGTAATCCCCAGGTACTGGAAATCTCAAATAATTCCGACCTTAACAGAATGGGTGGAAGCCCTTAATGACATTATGCACATGGAACAATGGATCGCACAAGATACAGTTAGAAAGACCCATTTTCATAATACTTGGGCAGCATGGATAGTATTTAAAGATTTTCCTGAAATACTGCGGCATTCATCCTACAAATCCTTCTGCGCATTCATTGTGTGCGAATAGATGCAAAAAAAAACAAAAGTTATTGGATACATTTTGTTTTCAGCAGTATAATGTAATATACTAATATAATGTAATACTGTGTTTTGGCCACTAGATGGTGCTGAGAAGAATTTGTTTCCTGTGCTCCTCAGCTCCATCTAGTAGCCATATTGCAGTATTACATTACATCCATTCAACCTGAAAAGGAAATAAATCTAAGAATGTTCCTTTTTGCATCCATTTGCACAGAATGAATGTCCAGAAGGATTTGTAGGGTGAGCGGCTAGGCGAATTGGTTATAATTAGACCCTGAGATAACTTGACATTCCATTCCAAGATATTCTATTTTATCCATTCTTTATGAGGAAGGACATGGCTCCTTATGAGTTAGGACAGATGGACACGGATCTTTATGAGGTAGGACAGGGGGACACGGCTCTTTATAAGGTAGGACAGGGGGACACGTTTTTTTATGAGGTAGGACAGGGGACACAGATCTTTATGAGGTAGGACAGGGGGACACGGTTCTTTATAAGGTAGGACAGAGGGACACGGTTCTTTATGAGGTAGGACAGAGGGACACGGTTCTTTATGAGGTAGGACAGAGGGACACGGATCTTTATAAGGTAGGACAGAGAGACACGGTTCTTTATAAGGTAGGACAGAGGTACACGGTTCTTTATGAGGTAGGACAGAGGGACACGGATCTTTATGAGGTAGGACAGGGGGACACGGTTTTTTATGAGGTAGGACAGGGGGACACGGATCTTTATGAGGTAGGACAGGGGGACACGGTTCATTATGAGGTAGGACAGAGAGACACGGTTCTTTATGAGGTAGGACAGAGGCACACGGATCTTTATGAGGTAGGACAGGGGGACACGGTTTTTTATGAGGTAGGGCAGGGGGACACGGATCTTTATGAGGTAGGACAGAGGGACACGGATCTTTATGAGGTAGGACAGAGGGACATGGTTCTTTATGAGTTAGGACAGAGGGACACGGTTCTTTATGATTTAGGACAGAGGGACACGGATCTTTATGAGGTAGGACAGAGGGACACGGTTCTTTATGAGGTAGGACAGAGGGACACGGATCTTTATGAGGTAGGACAGAGGGACATGGTTCATTATGAGATAGGACAGAGGGACATGGCTCCTTATGAGGTAGGACAGAGGGACACGGTTCTTTATGAGGTAGGACAGAGGGACACGGATCTTTATGAGATAGGACAGGGGGACACGGTTCTTTATGAGGTAGGACAGAGGGACACGGTGCAGTCTGTGCTCAAATGCAAGACTTAGCAATGATCTTTTCTACCACCAAAATAAGAACAGAAGGTTTATTCCTAATTATCTCTTTTACTTATCTCCTTTTAAAACTTTTTTTTCCATTGCACTCATTATCTAGCAAGGCGCCGTGCCATGATGGCATCAATATGTATTTTTCCATCTGGTAGAAGCAAGGCATTTGCACCAGTCCGCCAGCTTTGGGACCTTAGAAGCACTTTAGCATCCGGAGACAGAAGCTTTTAACATTCATAAGTAGCATTCCAAATGTATTTTTGGAGGCAGAGTATAGCAAAATTATGTGCAGATCCACTTTCCTTTCAACTATTAGAATGTCCTCCCGGAAAGATGTAATTGTTTGCAACGAAACAGCATTTTCCACCATTAATGTTGAAGTCTGACCAAGGAAGCACCCCCCCCCCCCACACACACACACATCCCCAAACAATACCCTCACCTCTCTAGCTAAATGCCCCAAGTATTCACTTATATCCTGAGTCCTTTTGCTTCTGTAGTGCTGAATGGGAAGGCTCTTCACCGGTTGCTTACATGGCTGCCTGGTAACAGGGCCACATCCCATCGAGTCCATCAGTGTTGTACTCGCAGGGTCCTGGAGACTCCAGTTGTTTTGTTGTGATGTCATGATGAGGGCTGGAGACAAAACCTTTTGGTGGGGACTGCAAGAGCCTGAACTCTCCAGTGGCAGTGTAATAGATCCCCGTTCTTCAGTCCTGGAAGAGGCGCCATTGAGGGTGATTCAGGTGAGTATAGAGAGGCTTAGAAAGGATTATTTTTTATTTTTGGTTAAAGGGAATAGATAGGAACAGGGTAGGCGGGAACAGAGTTGTTTGAGGGATGGGGTGGGGGATCTGGAATTTTGACTAGAGCCAGCTTTTACCATCACCTTGGATAGCCAAATCTTCTGCATATTGTCACATAACCCATTGAGAAGTCTTGGGTGGACCCATAAGTCCAAAGCTGAAATCAAATCTGGGAGAGGCGTCATTGAGGGTCACATGACAGCAGATTCAGGTGAGTATAGAAAGGCTTTGGAAGGTTTTTTTTTTGGTTAAAGGGAATAGATAGGAGCAGAGTAGGTGGGAGCAGGGTTGGTGTGAGAGATGTGGTGATGATGGTGGGCCTGGAATTTGACCTAGCGCTAACTTTTACTGTCACTTTGGGTAGCTAAATCTTCTGCAAACTGGGACATGTCCCATCAGAAGTCTTGGGTGGACCCATAGGTACAAAAGCTTAAATCAAACCTGGAAGAGGTATCGTTGAGGGTCACATGGCAGCAGATTCAGGTGAGTATAGAGAGCCTTAGAAAGGTTTTCTTTGGTTAATAGGAATAGGCAGGAGCAGGATTGGTGTGGGGGATGTCTGAAATTTTGCTTAGAGACAACTTTTACCATTACTTTGGGTAACTAAATCTGTAGACTGGGACATGCCTCATCAAGAAGTCTAGGGTGGACCCATAGGTGTAAAGACTTAATCAAACCTGTGCTGTGCCCATCAAGGCCATATACACAGATTTGCTTTACACCCCCCTCCCCCCCATATATGGTCAACGATATCACCAGCACCCCACCCCTTGGTTTACCTGCAGCAGCAGGGTGGAATCCTGGGGACACCATTGACCTTATATGGCCACATGGCCATGTTTGATCGATGACATTGACTAAATGTGGCCATATATGGTCAACAATATCACCAGCACCCCACCCCTTTGCTAACATGCAGCTGCAAGGAGGGAAATACCCAGCCACAACTGGTTGGGCTGACACTGATAGCTTCCTCCCGGGTTCGGAGCTTGGGTTCGTTCTGAACCCCGAGATCCTCCCTGTTCATTATGTCTCCAATGCATGTACATTTCCCCATGACTTAAGAAACACCGTAAGCGCAAAAAAATACATCCAGAAATCCAGTAAACTCCTAACTTTCTGCTTGGGTTGCTACCGCTGTACAAACGCTGCACTTAAATCCTCACCAGTTTTGCCAGCCATGCCCACTAGACTACAGAACTCCGCCGATATACCCCAGCCCTCTTTGTCCCTATCTGCATGTATACATTGATTTCTTCCCTAGCAAAACAATGCTGCTGCCTTGATTCCCAAGAGCCTGCCTACATGCAGTCTGTAGAGAAAGGGCTCTTGGAAGATGTGGTTCTGGTGGTGTGCCTACGTCAATCGTAGGGATGTGCATGGGCTTGGTGTGGACTTGGCGTGGGCTTGTGAGTCCGCCTGAGCCTCTGCAAAATTGTCAGTGACCCTTTTTATGGTAGTTTTACTCTGGGAGCATGTGTGAAGTTGTTTTAGTTTTCTTGTAGGAAGATTATATTGAACTCACGTTGTATGTTCTTTTTTATGACATATTTATTGTATTCTTATTTTCCAGTTCATCTGTTGGGAACATCTCGGTTGTGAAGAAAACAGTGGACAAGTTGCTGAAGGGCTATGACATCCGCTTACGGCCAGACTTTGGAGGTCAGTAACTCTGTAGACTTTGTTTTTCCCACCATAGTTGATGTCAGATGTAGAAATATTACCATTGGGCACAGGGCCGGTGCTAGACTATTTTGTGCCCCAGGCAAGACCAGCTACTTGCATCCCCCCAGCCACCCTCCCGTGGTGTAACCCCCCAATCCCCCCTGGCACGGCCAAATTCTCCTGCCAGCTAGCTTCCATCGGCGACAGGTGGATGTAAGCAGCCGGGAGCAATAGCCGGCTATTTTAATTTGGCTATTTTAATTTGAAATAGTCCATAGGCTATTGAAACCCCACCCACTGAGCAGAGTTCTGCTCTTCTGCTTAGTGGGAGGGTGCAATAGACAGTTTGCTATTGGCTTTTGCAATTTGAAAGACGGGAGGGGGGGAGGGGGTTTCACCGTGGATGGGGTGAGTGGTCAAGGCAGAGGAGCTCAGGTTTGAACTGGGTTCCTAAGTGCTCAGGTTCAGACCAGGTTCGGAGGACCTCAGGTTCAGACCAAGTTCGGAGGAGCTCAGGTTCAGAACCAGGTTCAGAGGAGCTCAGGTTCAGACCAGGTTTGGAGGAGCTCAGCTTCAGATCAGCTTCAGAGGAGCTCAGGTTTGAACTGGGTTCAGAGGAGCTCAGATTCAGACCAGGTTTAGAGGATCTCAAGTTTGGGCCAGGTTCAGAGGAGCTCAGGTTTGGACCATGTTCAGAGGAGCTTAGGTTTGGACTGGGTTCAGAGGAGATCAGATTCAGACCAGGTTTGGTCCAAACCTGAGCTCATCCCTTAATATGACTAATTTGAAACAATCTTCAAAAGATGAATTGTCTTTAAATCCACAAGAACTAGACCAAATCAACCAAAAGCACACCAAGGGATCTGAGAAATGTGAAAAGCGATTGGGATATATTGTATTGTAGTATCCAGGAATGAATGTTCACATTGAGAGAATGGTGTTCAAGTGTCAAGTTCGGTAGTAATATTATCAAATCCAAGAGAGCCAACAATGTCACATGCAATGCCCTCACAATCATGGTAGAGTTTCATCAAATGTTTTTGTTCTAGACAAGGCAAAATATGTCTCAAGCCAACTAAATTCCAAACTGATGCTGAATATTGATGTTAAAGAGACCACCCTGTGTATAGAGTGCAGAGAGGGGGGACTTCCTGGTCTTCTCCACAAGAAGACATGAGGCCCCATTATCTGAAAGGAAACTTTGAGGAAGGATTGGTGGAAATTGAAGAATCGGGTCTACTAAGCGAGGACCCCGAGAACATAAACTAGCCTCTCACTCCTCTAGTAAATTCTGAACTTGAAGTATTGAAAACTGTTCTTGATAGCCTCCTGCATTCTTCTGTATACTAACACTTGAGCTGGAAGGAGGAGCGCCAGTACTAGGAACCAATCAGTCTCTCTCAAACAGTAAACTTGCTTACAGGAGGATAGAACAGTGTGAGAAGGGGGGATGATCTTATCAGTGTTCTGCTTTTCCTTTATTGACCAAGCAGCAATGTGGTGCAATCCAGAGCTGCATTGGTGGTCTCAGACTGGGTATGCTGTTTTGGTAGGGGTGACTGGGTGGGTCACAAGACTGGAAATACACAGTAAAACAGTTCCGTATATATATTCAACCTGTGTATTTAGCTGTTTGCTTGGAATTAAAGGAGAACTATGGGGTTATGGCTTTTCCCCATAGTTCTCCTTAGGGTAACGGGAGGACACAAACTAGCGTCCTCCCGTCACCCTAAGCTCAGTATATCGCGTGCTACAGCTCACTATATACTGAGACGCCGCAGCTGAAACGGATTCCGACAATTATGTCTGGATCCGCCCAGCTGCGTGAGTGAAAGCTGGCTCTGCCTATCTAGAGGCAGAGCCAGCTGTACCCGCCCCCTCCCCCGTCCGACAGGGGAGCGGGGAATCCAGCCCCTCCCCTGTCACGGCAGAGAGCCGTGACAGGATCGAGAGGTGAGCGAACGCCGGTATGTGTTCGCTCACTTCCCGATCCACTGAGCCGACCTGGGACAGTTTCATTGTCACAGGTCCGCTAGAACTATGAGGTGAGTGAAAAGCACTCACCTCATAGTTCTCCTTTAAAGTAGACTTATCATCAGATACATTTTTCCTTTGTTAGGTGCATGTGTACGTGTAACACGTCCTACACGTATTTATTAACTCTCACAGAGATTGCATTAGACCCCCATCCCCCCGACAATGCCATCAACTGCCATCATCATCAACGTGGAGTTTGCTCCTTAAGAAACGTACAGTTGCTGTATATTGTGACATGTCAGGAATTTACAGTATTCACGCAGCCTTGCAGAGTTACTGAAAGGTCCACCTTAATTATGGAACCGCATTCCCCCATGTGCCAATCTTGTGGACCTCCCCCACCTGACCATTAAAGAGCGAATTTGTTCTATTGCCCTGCAGTGCTGTAACTGAAACACAGAGAGACTGCCAGAAGCACACGGAAAGAAATAAAAGCAATGCAGTAAAGTAATAATAGTAATTATTACTTTGCCGAGCATAATTATAGGAGGTGCATAGGAGATGCAGAGGCTGCGACTGTCCCCAGACTCACAACGTTCGAAGATATACGTATAAATTCTGATTCTCATTATTCGCCAGCTGTGTGCTCACGTTATAATCTGTTCATAGAAAGCAAAAATTTCCCTTTCATTCACATCCCTTTTCTCTGTTCTGTTATCCGATGTTTGAATTGCTGTAGGCATGTGATCCGGGAGACAATGCCCCTTAAGACCTATCTGTGTTTCGATAGCGCATGCATTAATGCGCGCATTACTGCAACACTCCATACACGTGTTAGTTTATTTTTTATTGGCACCCCCAACACCCCTTTTGACGGCCTTTGTAGAACACCACAATGTACTGTGATGCACTACTATGCATTGCATCAGAAAAAAACTCAAGCATACTATGAGGTGAGTGAAAAGCACTCACCTCATAGTTCTCCTTTAAAGTAGACTTATCATCAGATACATTTTTCCTTTGTTAGGTGCATGTGTACGTGTAACACGTCCTACACGTATTTATTAACTCTCACAGAGATTGCATTAGACCCCCATCCCCCCGACAATGCCATCAACTGCCATCATCATCAACGTGGAGTTTGCTCCTTAAGAAACGTACAGTTGCTGTATATTGTGACATGTCAGGAATTTACAGTATTCACGCAGCCTTGCAGAGTTACTGAAAGGTCCACCTTAATTATGGAACCGCATTCCCCCATGTGCCAATCTTGTGGACCTCCCCCACCTGACCATTAAAGAGCGAATTTGTTCTATTGCCCTGCAGTGCTGTAACTGAAACACAGAGAGACTGCCAGAAGCACACGGAAAGAAATAAAAGCAATGCAGTAAAGTAATAATAGTAATTATTACTTTGCCGAGCATAATTATAGGAGGTGCATAGGAGATGCAGAGGCTGCGACTGTCCCCAGACTCACAACGTTCGAAGATATACGTATAAATTCTGATTCTCATTATTCGCCAGCTGTGTGCTCACGTTATAATCTGTTCATAGAAAGCAAAAATTTCCCTTTCATTCACATCCCTTTTCTCTGTTCTGTTATCCGATGTTTGAATTGCTGTAGGCATGTGATCCGGGAGACAATGCCCCTTAAGACCTATCTGTGTTTCGATAGCGCATGCATTAATGCGCGCATTACTGCAACACTCCATACACGTGTTAGTTTATTTTTTATTGGCACCCCCAACACCCCTTTTGACGGCCTTTGTAGAACACCACAATGTACTGTGATGCACTACTATGCATTGCATCAGAAAAAAACTCAAGCAGGTCCATTTTTTGTCTGTTTTTGTTGCATTTGCAGCCTTTTCCAAAGAATAGGCTGTCTTGACACAAAACACTTAATAAAAGGCATTCACAATGGCCTGACAGGTCTGAAGGGGCCCTGAGCTACATAGCACTTCATAAAAAATGACCAGGTCAAGAGCTAAAAAGAATGGTCAAAGGTTATACATTTCCGTTTCATCTTAAATAATCCAGATAGTTTACTTTCTATTTGTAGTAAGTGGGCAAAAGTTTGTGAACACCTGACCATCTCACCAATATGACCTTGTTGGGCATCCCATTCCAAAACCATTGCCATTAATATGGTGTTGACTTCTCCCCATGGTTATTAATGTGGAGTTGGCTCCTTCTCCCCATGGCTATTAATATGGAGTTGGCTCCTTCTCCCAATAGCCATTAATGTGGAGTCGGCTCCTTCTCCCCATGGCTATTAATATGTAGTTGGCTCCTTCTCCCCATAGCCATTAATGTGAAGTTGGCTCCTTCTCCCCATGGCCGTTAGTATGGAGTTGGCTCCTTCTCCCCATGACCGTTAGTATGGAGTTGGCTCCTTCTCCCCATGGCCATTATTGTGGAGTTGGCTCCTTCTCCCCATGGCCATTAATATGGAGTTGGCTCCCTCCCCCATGCTAATTACTATGGAGATGGCACCCTCACATCAATATGGAGTTTGCCTGCTTCATAGCTCTAACAGCCTCCACTCTTCCGGGAAGGGGTTATACAAGATTTTGGAGAGTGGGGAAATTTGTGATCATTCAGCCAAAAGAGTAACATAGAGAGACCTGGCTCACAATTGACCATTCAATTCATCCCAAAGGTGTTCAATGGGGTTGAGGTCAGGTACTGATGTTGGGTGAGAAGACCTGGCTAACAATTGACCTTTCAATTCATCGCAGTGGTGTTCACTAGGGTTGCGCTCAGGTACTGATGTTGGGTGAGAAGACCTGGCTCATAATTGACCTTTCAATTCATCCCAAAGGTGTTCAGTAGGGTTGAGGTGAGGTACTGATGTTGGGTGAGAAGACCTGGCTCATCATTGACCTTTCAATTCATCCCAAAGGTGTTCAGTAGGGATGAGGGCAGGGCTCTGTGCAGGACACTTGGGTTCCTCCGCCAAAACTGGACATACCATGTCTTTATGGAGCTGGCTTTGTGCAAAGGGGACAGTCATGGTGGAACAGAAAAGGGCCTTGGACCAACTGGCACCAAAAGGTTGGAAGAGCAAAATTGTCTACAATGTCTTTGTATGATGTAGAATTTAACACAACCCTTCACTAGAGACACCTGAACTCAGTCATTTGAAGGGGTTCCAATTCATCCCAAAGGTGTTCAGTAGGGTTGAGGTCAGGGCTCTGTGCAGGACACTCAAGTTCCTCAACACCAAACTGGTCAAACCATGTTTTTATGGAGCTGGCTTTGCACACAGCTAACAGTCATGGTGAAACAGAAAAGGGCCCTCATGTGATGATGAGACTAGATAGGGAATAATATAATATAATAATATTACCTTCAGAAATATAACAACCCAGTACAAAGCTTAAAGCTAAACTCCAAGCAGATATACAACACATCAATACATACAGTTAGGTATTTATTTTAAAAAAATGTGAATTAAAATAAATGTTAAAAAAAAGTAATTTGGCTATAGGGAACATCTTCATTTGACTTAAGATCAGCCTCTTGCCATCCCTGAATATGAGCACTCTGAGAGAGGGAAGATCAGTACTAGGAGTCAATGAGGTGTACTGCATCCACATGGGCAAACAAGGAGGAGGGGGGACAGAGAGATTACTTTATCAGTATGCCTCTGCTCCTTTACACTCTAATCCAGCCTTCCTCAACCAGGGTGCCTTCTGGCTTGCTCAGGGTGCCTCAAAATGTTTGCATAGTGGCATGACTTTTCATGGACATAGCCATGTGGTTTCAGATGTGATGGTAGGACTCTGAGGTGAAGGGGGGACCGGGTACTCTGATGAGAAGGGGGCGGGGCTCCTGATGTGAAAGTGGAGTACTCCCTTAAAATCTATTACATTTTAGACTGGGATGCCTCGAGATTTTGCATACATTTAAAGGGTGACATGACTGAAAAAAGGTTGAGATATGTTGGTCTAGTTATAGGTTGGGGGTGGGGAAGTGACCTAGATGCGTTGCTTAACTGCAGCAAAGTCAGTTATATCCTGTTGGAACAAATGTGGTAGATTGACCACAGGAAGAGATATTTTGCTGCATTCGGCTCACTTAATTTTTCTCCTAAAGTGACTTTTGATTGAACACTTAGCCTAATGCTATAAGCTTAATGGTATAAGAATTATATTCTTGCCAAAGTCTAGTAAGAGCATATAAAGCTTTGTGTATAAAGATAATTCTTCCAAAGTTCTGTCCTTTCTGTCCTGTGGCCCATGTGCTGCTTGATTGAACCGCCCTATCCTTGAATAAGCCAGCCCAGAGCCAGAATAAGCTGTTGGCACTGTTCTTTGAGTGTGCTTCCTCAATAAAGCTAAGAAGAAAGTATTCCTGATTTTCCTCATGGAGTGAGTGGCCTGGAGAGTAATTATTTTGGAAACCTGGAATAAGATACGATACTGCCACCTGAATTTGAATGTTGAAAATGACTGATGTCCATGCTTTTCAGGAAAGTAGCAGTAAAACGTTAGCCCTAGTTGTGTGTGGGCTCTAATCCAAACCCCCTTTCTTAAGATAATGGAAGTACTTCAGTAGAGGAAAGGAGTTGACATTGGTCCTGGAGAAGTTGAGGGAGCCAGTCAACATCACAGGGGAAGCAGCAATGGCCAACGAACCTGGGGTTGAGTTGTTCATATATGATGGCCTTCACATTGGGAATTGAAAGTTCTGAGCCCAGTAGGTCTGAGAGCAATGAGGGACCTGCTGTTTCCATGGGAGAGGTACCAGTGAAGCAGTAATAAGTCTATGGTCTACTGGGGTCCTGTCCATAACAAAATAAAACAAGTAGAGCCTGGCACAAGGACTGGAGAGAGTGGTCCTAGGTTTTGAAAGACCCTTCCAAGAATTTGCTGAAAATGGGCTTCTAGAATAGAAATCCTATATTGATCACTATCTGAAATAATCTTTCCCTTTGCTACATGGCCATCCCCTCCACACAGAGCCAACAGAACCTTTACATAAATATATATTATTAGCTCAAAAACTCTTTATGACCAGGTACTGCTTGTGTCCTATGTTTTGTCTGAAAGTAGACTGAGCTTTTTGTATTAAATGTTCTCTTCGTGTTTAAAGACCTAATTATATGGCTGGACATTGTAGACAATTGTGCTCTTCCAGCCTTGTGGTAACAGTTTGGTGAAGTCCCTTCTATTTTCCACCATGACTGTCCCCTGTGTGCAAAGCCATCTCCGTAAAGACATGATTTGAGCAGCTTGACGTGGAGGAACTCGAGTGTCCTGCATGGAGCCCTGACCTCAACCCTACTGAACACCTTTGGGATGAATTAGGATGCAGATTGTGAGACAGTTCCTCTCCAACATCAATATCTGACCTCACAAATGTTCTTTTAGCTGAATGAGCTTCCCACAGACAGAGTGCCGGTGATTTTCTGATACTTTGAAAACACACGGCACCATCCATGTCATCACTGCCAGCACCGTGATCAATAATTTCATGGTTATAGCGCCGTATGGAGTGCAGGCGATCTAGAACAACACTATGGGTTCACTTAAAGGGGCTTACACTCCTAATGTCACCTCTGCACGCTGTTAAAGCTGATTGAGCACAGACCATAGTTAAGCTTCTTCCAGGGCCAGGGTTTGACCGCTCTGAACCTGGAAGTGATCAGAGCTAAAGGGCTCCCAGGTTCATAGTAACCAGGAGAGATGATCACTACCAGCACCATGATCAATAACTTCATGGTTATAGCGCCGTATGGAGTGCAGGTGATCTACAACAACACTATGGGTTCACTTAAAGGGGCTTACACTCTTAATGCCACCTCTGCAGCTGATTGAGCACAGATCATACTTAAGCTTCTTCCAGGGCCAGGGTTTGACCGTGCTGAACCTGGAAGTGTTCAGAGCTGAGCGCTCACAGGTAAATGGTAACCAGGAGAGATAATTAAATTAATGTTCACTGACTTCCCAAAGCTCTCCATCCAGACGCAAGCCATGGAGGTCATAGACACCCTAGAGGGACAGGTGAGACTGGGAGACACGACGGGTGGATCAGATGGGGGGTGGCGGGGGCAATGGCAATACCTTTACACAGATGTAGCAGAGGTCATAATTGGGAATCATTTTCCTCATTCATGCCGCCGCTGCTGCCACTGTACTACGCATGGTGGTGCCAATATAAGGGTTACACTCTTCCCTACTGTTTTCTAACCTAGGCTTTAGATATTCTTCATTCACTGCGATCAGATGAATTTGTTTCATGGTGTAATTGTATTTATATTCTTCCCAAACCTTGTACGTCGTGTAACAGAACTAGAAGCAATTCTATTGATCTGTTAATTCTGTTGACCCTAGCGGGTTGCTTTCAGGGACAGCGTCCTTCACAGGCTCAGGGTAAAGTGATTGGCAATTGAAAATTGGATATCTATCAGTAGGTTTGACAAACAAATCCATATTCAAGCTTCCATTATTGAACTGTGACATTGAGCACTGGGACTTGGCAAGGACATGCAGCAGCCTGACACCAGATGCATCCCCAAGCACTAAAACGTCATTTAGGCTTTAACATGTTAATGTTTTTTTGTTTTTTTTCATCTGCATCTTTTATGTAAATAGTCCCTGGTGATCCTGCCATGAAGGCCTTGTGTTCAGGCACTTCCTGTTATGGAGCAGACCAGTAGCTAGCTCCGTTTGCACCTGAGGCAAAAACAGAAAATTGTACCCCCCAACTGACGTGTTATATCACCCATCGTTGCGCACGCACGGCGTAATGTGACTTAATGCTCCCCGCCTCCAGGATGGCGGCACGCATGCGCAGAATGCGCTGGTGGCCAAATCCAAAATGGCATACAAATGTCTTTCGTTTCACGAAACTAATGAAAACATTTTTAGTTTCCGCTCATTTCGTCCGAAATGAATTTTTAGTTGTTGCACATGTCTAGTAATATGTGTGTGTGTTGGGGGGTTTTTTTTACTTGGGGGGGGGGGGGGGCTTTGGGGGAATATTAGGGTTCTAAACAGTCCCCTGACATTTCCCTTTTGAAATGGAAAAAGAGATTGAGGACACTGAGTCCTCTGCCCATACATGTGGGGAGAGCAGCAGGGATCCAAATAGAAGCTGGAGCCTGTGCGGCTCCTCTTCTCCCTGTGTTTGCCGCATGGCGCCCCTGTTGTCAATGGTGCCCTGTGCTCGCCATGGCAACAGGGGCGAAGGGGTGCAGCCAGGCGGGCCCTGGCTACACCCCCTTTTTCAGCTGCGCCTGAGGCGAGTGCCTCACTCGCCCCGTGGTAGCTACAACCCTGTTATGGAGTGACAACGTTATTTTCTTTTTTCATCCAATCTCGCTCCTACATTGTCACCCTGTCCGATGGAGGCTTCAAGTGGTCATTTCAACACATGCAGGCATGGTCCACTGTTCTGTTGTCACCATCAAGGAAACTGCCATGGGAAATACCATGCAGCCATCGCTGGAGTGCATGTAGACAGGAAGTGGTTGCAGGAGATTAGCGGCATTGGGATGTTATACAGCATGGGCCACTTTTGTCACCATTAGGGAACCTGCCATGGGAAATACCATGCAGCCATCGCTGGAGTGCATGTAGACAGGAAGTGGTTGTAGGAGATCAGTAGCATTGGGATGTTATTTAGCATGCTACACTGTTGTCACCATCAGGGAACCATGCAGCCATGGTTGGAGTGCATATAGACAAGAAGTAATGGCAAAGAGCTGCAGGAGATCAGGAGCACTGATATATTATATAGGATAAAAAAAGCTAAAAACATGACAAAAAAAGGTCTTTGTTAACAATTCACATTGCACAGAGCCATTCATTTAGCTTTTTCATCTACTCTTATCTGTGTTGCTGGAAACATACAGCGCTGCCACACATTGCTGACTTCTATTAGGATTTTATTCTGTCCTATTATAATGCTGTATACCATTATAGATGACATATAGGTTGGTCTGTTTGTTTCATGGCGTGCTAATCCCTATCGTCTATTACAGGTCCTCCAGTCACCGTGGGGATGAGTATCCATATTTCCAGCATTGACCAGATTTCAGAGGTCAACATGGTGAGTAATGGCTTACATTGTTGGCAATGCTTTACATTGTTACATTTCTTTTATTACCATATCCATTAATGATATCTCAGAAAGCATAAAGTTGAAGTCCAGTCATGGAAGCCCCGCCCCCTTCCCTTCCTCACACACAAAGACAATACCCCTTCCTAGCTAATGGTCCCATTCATTTAAAAAAAATTAAAGGAGAACTATGGGGTCAAGGCTTTTCCCCATAGTTCTCCTTAGGGTAACGGGAGGACACAAACTAGCGTCCTCCCGTCACCCTAGGCTCAGTATACCTGTAGCTCGCGGTATACTGAAACGCCGCAGCTGAAGGGGATCCCGACAATTATGTCTGGATCCGCACAGCTGCGTGACTGACAGCTGGCTCTGCCTATCTAGAGGCAGAGCCAGCTGTACCCGCCCCCTCCCCCGTCCGTTCCGCCAGTCATCGCTGGCGGATCGGAGCGGGGAGGGGGGAATCCAGCCCCTCCCCTGTCACGGCAGAGAGCCGTGACAGGATCGAGAGGGGAGCGAACGCCGTATGTGTTCGCTCACCTCCCGATCTACTGAGCCGACCTGTGACAGTCTCATTGTCACAGGTCGGCTAGAACTATGAGGTGAGTGAAAAGCATTCACCTCATAGTTCTCCTTTAAAAGCTACAGAAGACTAAATGTGCCAAATGCTTAACTAAATTGGTGGTCATGTGATGCGCTGGGTCTAAAGTCTTCTTGCATCTTGAGTGGATGGTGGTAGAGACCCATTGACGCCTCCCATTGGGTCCATTGGTGTGTTCACAAGAGTCTGAAGACTCCAACATTGGCTCCAATCTTGACTCCTGGAAGAGGTGCCATGGAGGTTCACTATCAAGTTCTGGGCTGGTTATTTATTTATTTTTTTTAATAAACTAATGTTGGGCCTCTGCTGCAGCCTCTCGCCTTGTGATTGGCTACAAAGTTATACATTTTGGCAGTTTGATCACTGAGGGAGAACAGACTGAGAAAATGCTTCCTCCTCCCAGCAGCCAGCAGACTGATGACATCTTCTCAGGCTAGGCAAAGTCACTTGAGTGAGTCTCTTGGATGACTTTTTAATGATAAAATCAACAGATTTTTATAGATAAAAGTACAGTATACAGTTGATATACACCGATCAGCTATAACCTCATGATCAGTGAGAGGTGAAGTGAATTACATTGATTATCTGGTTACAATGGCTCCTGGAAGTGGGGGGGGGGGGGGGGGATAAC